CTGGCCAAGGACATTGTGTTGTGCTCTTGGACAAGACTCTTTACTCTCATAGTGCCTCTCTCCATGCGTACTAGCAAGTTTAATGCAGGGGAGTAACCCTGCAATGGTCCAGCATCCCATCCATGGGGAGGTAGGAATACTCCTAGTTGCTTCATGCAACAGAAACTAGAGATAAGGTCTGGCCTGATGGGCCACTTGGCTCATAACATTATGCAGACTTCACCTTTTCACCTTTACTGATAGTTGCTGTGCATCTCTTTCTTTACCACCAACCCAAAGTGGGCAATGAAATGGGCAAATAGGTTTGTAGGCTAGGATATTAAAGCTGTCATTTTACTTCTTTGACATTTAGCTCAGTAAACTTAGAGGATGGTACATTTAAGAGGTTGGCATGAGCTAAAATTGTCAGAAATTTGTGGTGGTATTCAAGGCTGTCAGTCTAAGAAAAATAACAAGGAGCCTAAAGGCTCTTAACCATGAAATCCTATGTGCCTAGCACAGTAGCGTATATATAAGAAAGTGAGTTTTTCCTGTCACCCAAAAGCAAAAGCTAGTCGCCTGTGGCACGCAGACACCTCTAGAGCACAGGCTGTGGCTATTGCAAGCTGAGTAATCTGACTTGAATGATCCAGGTTTTTTTCCAGATGATTTAGTATAAATCTACTAGCGTTCTACCACAAATGTTGTTCTCTTATTGGCTACCCCAATCACTAGCTATTCTGTTGTAGTTAGTGATGAAAATAACATTGTGTACTTGATGACAAATGATGGACACTAATTTGCATTTTTGAAGTCTCTGTGAAGAGGAATAAGATGAAGTTTTGAACAACTAGTAGATCTAAACTAAAACAATTAGATTATGAGCTTGACTGCTCTATCTCTCTGTGCATGAAAGTTGATGAAGGCTGTGCTCTGGTCAACTATCAGGCAATAGAAATCTTAAGTTCGTGATCTTATTGTTGAATCTGTTGTAGGGGCAATGGAAATAACAGAGGAACCATTATCCCAGAAAATAAAAGAAGGCTCAAAAGCGGAGTTGGTGTTTAAGTGCAAAGCTCAAGGAAACCGCAAACTGACCTATCAGTGGTATAAAGATGGTGCAGTGTTACAGGGAAAAGAAGAGGGCACACTTGTCCTTAAATCTGTTACATTACCTGACTTTGGCTGCTATAAGTGTGCTGTTAGTTGTAAAGATAGTTCCAGCTTTAGAGTAGAATCATCGCCTGCAGAACTGGATGTTAAACCTCGTGATGGAACAAGTAAGTATGTCACTCAGTCTGGATAAAAGTTAATCCTTTTTAGAAGCTAGTAGTTTAACAGGCTGGTGATGTGCAGTTCCCAAAGTAATCTGACACGATACGATCCCCAGTTCTAAATTGATTTCCGACTCGAATCTGAAATCACTTTAACTGATTGTTTTTTAACTTGTCATCCCATAGTGCAGAGTGCACTGTTGGAATGATTTAGGGGACCGCCATCCACTAAAGTACTTACGAGCTGCGATAAGGCTCTAAGGTGTTGACTTTAATGTTTGTTTAAGTACAGTCAAACCAACTGAAACTCACTCCTCAAGATTACATTAATGAATTGATTATTTGAATATGAACCTGCTAGATGCTTTAAGAATGAAATAATGAATCAAGCATTTGAATATTGAACCCGTTAGCTGTATTTCTTGGAACAACTAGCTGATTCAGTATTTAATCAATTCATTATTGCATCCTTGAAACAACTAGTGGGTTCAATACTCAAATAATGAATTCATAAATGTAATCTTAAGGAGTATGCTTCACTAATTGACTGCAGTTAATTTCAGTTTATTAATTAGCCTTGCAGCAGGGGCGGGGCAGGATGTGGCAAGTGCCTGTGAGGGCTACGTAAAACATGATGTACTTACCTTACTTCTTTGATATCTTCACAAAGCTATATATTTGTGTCAGAAAACCCCTTGCTCTCCTCCAATATTTGCTCTAAACGCGTGTGCAGATTAATAAGCATTAGTATCAGATGGAAGATACATTTCATACAAGATCACACACTAACATTGAGTGCTTGTTCTTGTGGTAGAACCCTAACATGTCATACGCATGCGTTCTAGCATCGTTAGCATGATACAAGAATGTTACTGTGACTACATATCTTTTGGAATTACTCCTAGCCATTGGTTCAAGAAATATCATTTGCAGTTTCCAAACTAAACATGTAGTAGTGCCCTATTTTTCCTTCATATTTTGGACGTAAATTTGACAAGGTAACGACTGTGAAATTCCCTCAAGTTTGCATGAAGTAATCTTGTCTCTAATTCATTTTTCAGCGTACAAATGTCTGAAAGATATTGACCTCAATACTCAAGACCGGATTGAAGACCTTCTCACCCAGAAAAGTTTCGGTTCCGGAGGGTGGAGGCAGATCGCCTTCAAGTATGAAATGGATCATGTCAAAATTAAAAACCTAGAGAACGATCCAGAGGCCGGCAAAAACACACTGGAATACCTTCGGTCAAGCAACCCAGATCTGACGGTCTACGATTTTTGTAAGGCACTTAAAGAACATAGCGTAAAGCGCCTCGATATTGTTAGGGAATTAATGGGACATCTTTCAGTTCCCAGTTCATCAAATGTATATGTGTAGTTCTGAAAAGCTGTTGTCAATTTTGGCGTAGGGCGGTAATCGCTCGAAGGCTAAATATGGTGCTTTCCCTTCCAACTAGAGCAGCTCTGTCTAGTGACCCTTTGTTAAAATTGGACAGCTTTCTTCAGAGCTTGCAGGCCTGTCCTGGTAAAGCCTCCCAAGCAATTTAGTGTTGTTATCATTATCATTAATTATCAGTTCATAAACTCAGCGTAACAATTATTTTACGCGTAGTAAGTCGTTTTGACATAGTGACTGTGCCATCGTACCTGTCGTGTTTGACATATCGACGTCAGCCCGGTGGGTTTGTCATATGGTCAGCATTTATTGTTGTACAAATTGATTTTTCACCAAAATAGCTATATTTGTAGATCACGATAAAAAGTGACATAGCAGTTTTTTGCTAGAGATTTTAGGATGTTTTTACAATTTGTTATTACTTGTCGATCTCGGCGAGTAGTGTAATTCCATGGACTAACAGTGGACCAAGATTTCCATTTTAGTCTTACGTGTGATGCCGTTTTTGTAGAGAGAGATCCCTTTAAGGGTATATCAAGAGGTCCTACTTATTGTGACCAAGATCGTTTCACCGTTGGACCCGAAACATAAAGATAAGGGTCTGTTAGAACAGCTAAGACTTGACTTATTAACGACAAATGTGTTATTGATGAGTTAAACACTTAAAAGAGGGACCATGTCTTGCAATTTTAGAACATTTTGCTACCCAGAAACTTACGTACCTTCTGTTTCAAGGAGACAATCAATTTTAACTAGATGTTTGTAATTATAAACGTCTGTTTTAACTGGTGAAAGTAAAATTAATAGCTTAAGATTGTAGAATATTTAGACAGGTTTTAAGACTACATAACTTAATTTCTTTTCTTTAGTAGTGCTAAACAGAAAATGCGTTTTGAAGATCTTCGTTTTAGTAATATTTACTGGGAAGCCAAAATTTAGTCTTATTACCCAAGCTAACGTGCATATGCTGTACAGTAGCCAGTTGGTGTTTAGGGCTTGAAACACGAGCGAAAAAATGTAACAGGTCTTTCAACCCACGTATTACCAAAAGTTGTCAAAGTCATATTCACCTAAAACTTATTGGTCAGGTTAAACAACGTAGGCATTGATCACCGATATCACTGAACTTGCCATGTAGTTAAAATCTCGGGAATGGCAGAGTAAGAAAAAAATTACAGATTGATGCCTATAGAAACGAAGGAATTTGAAAGTTGGTATGCCAAAATCTTCGTCTCAAGGGTTGAGAGGACTGTCCACACTTTATCTTTGTTGTACATAATATGAGCTTTTTTTATAGAATGGGGCAGGAGAAATCTCGAACGTTTTTAGCTGAACATAGTTGTGCGCGAATGTGACAAACATTCAAGAATATTCTGAATGCCCACCAATTATTTGTAGCTGGTCTACCCGAAGCCTAAGGTGGCAGGGCAAAGCTCTGTTCATGAGGATAATTGTAGATTTTATCATAGATTTATTCACCTGTACTAAGAGTATAGTTTAAGGAATAGTGTAGAACGTACAGAATTATTTTTGTATGTAGACAGTAGCTGGTTTACAGTATTAGGTATTTTACACTTTAGAAATGTTTTGAAATTTGTATTTGTTATTGTATGTATACTTAATATGTATTTTTACTACTGTGTCTATTTTTGTAGTTATTAGAATTAAATTTGCAATGAATTCCAATGCATTTCAGGCATAAAGTATTTCCCTCCAAAAGAAGCCGGCACAATAATCATGCTGGTATAATACAGTCGAACCTGTCCACCTAGGGTGTGGCCTCACTGTTACTGCGCTTGTCTCCGGATCCGGCGGTCCGGTTTTTAAGCCCTGGCCAGGGACGTTATGTTGTGTTCTTGAGCAAGACACTTCACTCTTGAGCACAGTGCGTCTCTCCACCCAGGTGTACAAATGGGTACCGGCGAACATAATGCCGGAGGTAACCCTGCGATGGACTAGCATCCCATCCGGGGAGGGGGGGGGGGGGGGGGGG